CTGTATTAATTATAATGTTCTGACATGTCTAATTTTCCACAGGAAAAACGGATGTCTCCATTTTCTCCAAAGTCTCCAACTTTTTTTCAAAGAAATGTTTAAAGTAGCAAACTTTAGAAGTACAGTGGTACCTTGGCTCACGAACTTAATCCATTCCAGGACTCTGGTCGTGAGCCAAGTTAAATTTCCCCATAAGGTTCAATGTAAATAAGGTTATTGGTTCTGTAACTATTTTTTTTAATCAGAAAAATGTGAAGCAAAGAGACAAAGAACAACAAAGATCGTGATCATTTCCCCCCCTCCCACCTCGAACATGAGCACGGCCATTTCCCCGCCCCCCCAGCACGACTGCGATTGCACCCGTCATCCTTGCCCACACCCATCATCCCAGCACGCTGGGGGGAGAGACGGGCACAAACGTGGGCCTGCTCGAGAGGGGGAGACAGGCGCGATCATGCTGGGCGGGGGGGGGGGAGATGGCTGAGATCACGGTTGCACTCATGCAGGAAAGATGGGTGTGATCTCAGTCATCCCCCCCACCCCCAGCACAATTGTGACCATCTCCGCACTCAGGGGGTCGCCACCCAATGCGGAGTTCACAACCCAAGTCAAAATTTTTATGAAATACTTGTTCACAATCCGATTTGGTCATGAACTGAGGCATTTGTGAGCCGAGGTACCACTGTAATATCACACACCCCATTCTCAAATTGTGCACAACTTGAAAAAATATTTTTTAAATGCCAGATAGACTGACTTCAAAAACCACGTTCAAAGAATGGAATGGACAGGGAGGGAAACACAAGTTGCTATCTCTGTATCAGTGAATGCCTTCAGAATAGTTCCAGTCATAAAACAAAGCATCATATTGTCTTTTGTGAAGGCCCCCATTTAAGTATGCTACACTGTTTAAATAACAGATCCATGGGCTCCAAGGCAAATATAGAAACACAGCATACATTTAAATTCAAAGAAGGTTGCAATCCTATACATATTTAGACAGAAAAGGTCCTACAACTCCTCATATACTCCAGCCAGCCATGTATAGAATTACATCCAAAATAGTCTAAGTTTATAATCCATTTTTTTCTGTTCACTTCTATATTGTGAGCTGTCTTGGGCACATCAGAAGACAATAATGCCAGGGAAAGTTGAAGGCAAAGGAAGAGGGAGACCAAATATGAGATGGAGTGATTCCATAAAGAAGCCACAGCCTTGAGTTTACAAGAGCTGAGCAGGGCTGTCACTGACTGAACATTCTGAAGGGCAGTCATTCATAGGGTCACCATAAGTCAAAGATGATGAAGTAACTTGACAGCATGTGACTTTTTTCTCTTTACAAGGTTTAAGCAAATAATGAATTTCCTTAGAATTCAGTATATGAAGACTCATAACCTTGCCAGGAAGCAATAGAGCCCTAGTTCCAAGGTGCTATGAACTCCAAGAAAGCACCATGCTGGTTGTCTCCCACAGATCACAACTGAGCATCAAAGAAGACAACCAGAGATGTTTTGGGTGGAGGGAAGGAGGCCAGGGCCAAGACTTATGCTGATTCTAACTGGTGCCCAAGCCTCCTTTCCTTCCCATCTCTGGCACTTTATTTAGGCAACTCAAAATGGCCATCTAGATAAAATACCCAGTGGGAGCCACAGTGGCAGCAATTGTCACATTGTGCTTCATTCCAGGCATAGGATGCACATAAGCCTACAAATCATTTCAGTACATTTTGTAGTTTATAAAATAGGCAATTCAGTATTTCTTTAATGCATAGGCTGCAATCCAACAGAGTTAATCATGTTTAACTCACTGAAATCAGTGGGCTTGAAGGTGCTTTAGGCTGCAGCCCTAAATTCCTAGACTGGAATACAGAGCAGAGAAAGCAATATTTACTTCTGAGTAAATATACCCAGAATTGCACGGTCACTTTGTGTTGGACTGTGGCCTTGATTATAAACCAATCAGGAAAAATAACAAAGTGAACAATGAAACCATATGCATGTTTCACTTAGAAGACACTCTGAATTCAGCAAGACCTTATCTCAACTCAAGTATACAGCAGGATCCCCATATCTGCTGTCTCAGTTACTGAGCTTTCACATAACCAACACTGACTGTCAGCCTTCCACGTTTGCAGGGATTAGGGGAGTAGGATTCCCATGAAAGTGGACAAACCACTAATATCTGTAAGGAACTACATACCGTATTTTTCGCTCTATAAGACACACTTTTTTCCCCCTCAAAAGTAAAGGGAAATGTCTGTGCGTCTTATAGAGCGAATGTGTGTCTGCCCGATGCCCGGGACGCTGCCGGCCGTCTGCACAACGTGGCACCACCTGGCCAGCACGCGCTCGGCGCGCCCTGCTCCGCCCCCGCCCTCCAGCGCAGGTGAGAGCTGTGCTGCTCAGGGGGAGGCATGCGGAGGAGCAGGAGCCGTGACCTTTAACCTGCCGGCCGCACGGAGAGACGGACTGCTCACCCCCACTGCCCGGGAAGACCTGCCGCTGCGCCGCCTGGAAGACCATTGCCGGCATGCTGCCGGCCGCATGCACCATGTGGCACCACCTGGCCAGCATGCACTCGGCGCGCCCTGCTCCGACCCCTTCCTCCGGTGCAGGTCAGAGCTGTTAATCACAGGTCAGTGTGTGTTTTCAAATGGCAACCCGTCTTTTAATGAAGCCCATGGGGAAGTGATGGGGAATGTGTCTGTGATTATCAGGAAGCTTTCAGTTATCTGTTAGTTGATCAGACACAATGTTTTTAGGATCAGTGGATATTTGAACAGCATTACCTTCATTTATGAAGTTTATTCTTCAAAGGCTACTTAGTCCGCTGTGTGTTTGATTTACCATACAATATCTCATTTTTTGTCAGAAGTTTTTTTCTATTATTTACTAGTAGGGCAGCGTGGACATTACTGGCTTTTTTAGATTTGTTATTGAATTGTCTGCAGCAACTCTTGTATAACTGGTGTAGATTGTGGATTCCTTCAATAATTCCACTACTGACTAAGAAAGTGATGTCAGTGATTGTGAGCAACAGAGCTTCATAAATTCTGACTCTAGTGATGATGAGTTCTATGGGTTCGATGAAAACTAGAATATTCGAACTTTGTTAATGACAGTGATGATGGTTCTTAATGCCACTGTTGACTGCTGTTCACTTTACAAGGTTGAAATATGGTATTACTGTATTCTGTTATAGTTTATTAAATAGTTTAGTAAACCATTTGATTCAGAATATTTTTTTCTTGTTTTCCTCCTCTAAAAACTAGGTGCGTCTTATGGTCAGGTGCGTCTTATAGAGCGAAAAATAAGGTACTCTTTTGGGGGATGCCATGCTCTTTGTCTTGGTACTTGCCAGCCTCACTCATGTGTTTTGTCTCTCAGTGGGTGTGAAGGCTCTAGAGATATTTGCAGTTTTTCCACTTTTGTGGGGATCCTGTGCCCCAACCCCCACAAATGTAGTGTTTGTTATTATCTGCAGTTTGCATCATCCACTGCGGGGCTTGGAACCTAATCCCTGCAGATACTGCGGTCCTCAACAGGGTCAGAGCCTTACAGTGCAAGTTTATTCAGAAGTCCCCTATGCTCAATGGGACTTATACTTACTAAGCAGCCATAGGACTGCCGCCTTGGTCACAGTCCCAGTGTGTCTCATGACTATCTCTTTGAACTCCCCTTCTTCCCATATACACCAAGTACAGTGAGTAGACACAAGAATTGGGAGAGGTGATTATGTTATAGCTCCCAGAATCTGGAACATCCTCTTAAGCTAAGTTAATTGCTCCCCATTGATGCTCACTTCTCAACAAGCAACCAAGCTTTCTAGTGTTACTTTTTTGGATAGTGCTTTTAAATGATAGATACAATCAGACTATTGCTGTTTTGCCTTAGGGCCTGCTGGGAGGGTGCATGGGGTTATTAACTGTATCTTTCCAAACAATTGTTAGTCACTTGAATATCATGATTGAAAAGCAAGGTTAACAACAGAATAATGTTGCTCTTTGAAGAAAATCACCACCATCAAGCTCATATATTGCACTAAGTGATTACTAGTTAGTTAGGATGCTAGGTCCAAAGTGTTCTAATGGGTAAGGAACTGAAGAAGATGGTTGCAAATTAAACCCTTGGCTGCACCATGTTCAGCCCTAGAAACTGTTTTCAGCACTGCAGCCAGGGCAAATCAAGGTAACAAGAAATAGTGCAAAATGTTTTTATATTATCACAGCCTGTTCCTCACACTTTACATGAAACAGCAGACCTTTCAGCACAAAACAGAATGGGTTCCTGACACTTCTCTTCATAGAAATTAACCACTGGGAACAACATGTAACCTCTGAAAAATTAAAATTAAAACAAGGCCATCTCCTTCTGTCCTATCTGAAGGACCTGGCCTACAATAATCTGTGGCGTTATTGGCACAGAATTATATTTGGAAATTGGTCATGAAGTATAAGAGAAAATTCGTAGAGTCAGAGGCCCTCCACTGGATTAGAGGTGACATTCAAGGAGACTACAAACCCCAGCAGCCCTTCCTCCACTGACCCTGCGCACCGCCAGCCAAGGCATTCCACAATGAGCCGCAACCCCCCTGCTCTTTCCCAGGCTGGCTCTGCCTTCGCTTGCTACGCCGAGCCAACCATAAGAACTACAAACGCGCTGCAGGTACACAGCCACACACACCACGGAAAAGGCATGGGTGCGCAGTGCACGATGGGACGCGGGAGCTTAATTTAACCCTACACTACGCGAACCGTCCTCACCCCGTTTACCCGACGCCACATGGCCACCGCCCTCCTCGATAACTGGGCAGCCAACGCAGGGTTAGCCAGGGCTCTTCCCCTCAAAGCTAAGAACGTTGCGCCTGCCCGGCCGCGCACGCAGGACGCCCCCGCCCCCCGCCCGGCAATTTGTTACGAGGACAAGGCGCCGAAACGGACGAAAGCCAGAGTGACTCTCCTAATCGCTCCCTCTCTCACATCTTTCGTCCCTCCTGCTTACCTGAGCCGCTGCGCTCCCCGCGCGTTGACACACCCGCAGCATGATCCCGGACACCGCCTAAGCGAAGCGGCGGAAAGCAAGACGAGCGAATGCCGCGCAACTGCTCTGGGCCGAACTGCCTGGGAGGCGGAGCTTCTGCTCACCAATCAAACCAGGAAACATGTTGGTTGTGCAGATGTTCGTCCATGTTTCGCGAAAGTATGCGTGGCAACCAATGGAAACAAATTGTCATCGGTCTATTCCTCTTCGAAGCAGAGAGGGGGAAAAATTAGGGGTGGCACAGCCAGTGTGCTGTAGTGGTTAAGAGCATGGGACTGGGACTCAGACAATCTGGGTTCTAGTCCCCGCTCAGCCATGGAGCCAACTGGGTGACTTTGGGCCAGTCACAGACTCTCATTCCAACCTACCTCACAGGGTTGTTGTTGTGGGGATAAGATGGAGAGGAGATGTAAGCTGCCTTGAGCCCTTTGTAGGAAAAAGGCAGGATATAAATCGAAAAAATAAATAAATAAAAATTTACTCTTATAGAGAAAAAAGGGCCATGTTTTGAGTATCCTGTGAACGGAAGTGATAGCTTCTAGGAGAAAACAATGGAAAAATCGCTCACATTTTAAATTCGCAGTGCTCAGGTCCTATTTCCTGTGGAAAATTCGATTGGCATTTTTAACCATTTAAAACATTGCCCTGCCAATGCAAATAGAGTCTATCAATCTTACACTTGGCTTATGAAAGCCTTGTAAATACCCATCAGCGGAGATGGGAGAGGGGTGGCATTGGATATCGTAGAATCAGGCAAACGCTGCAGATACTTATTTACGCATCTAGTATGCAAATATTTACATCATTCGTCAGTTATATTTTCTCAGCGGACTACAAAAATATAATTAAAAGGCATTCATGAAAAAGAGCGGAAATTAAAATAGCAGCATCATCCAACAAAATCCAGTTGGTCCAGTGTTATTAACAGCTAACGGTATCTACCATTTCCCCCCCTGGGATTTCAGGGTTGGGTAAAAAAAAAAAACAGTATCACTTGTGCAATCACCTTGCTTATTTTTCTCTACTCGAGCACTCCATTCCCTAAAACAAAATCCAAACCACCAACATTTGTATTCAAGCTTCTGTGCTTGGTAGTGGCGCTGGCTGAGTCATTTATTCCACCCCCGGATCATTTACTCTAAGTATCTAGTTTGAAGTTCTGGACCTAAATCCCCCTTTCAAAAAGCACCAGCACCCCATGTTGAGGCGAAATTCTACTAAGATATATTGTTCCTCGGAACCCCCCATCTTCTTTTTGCCCAAATCGACTTTCACTGTGCGGCCAGCCGAAAGAAATGTCACATGACCGTTCCAAGACAAGACAACCCGGAAGTTCAGTTTACGAGGAGTCTCCTTACGCTCCCTTTTCCTTCAAAAAAGGCTCTCTGTCTCCCACGTGCTGATCCCAAAAAATATTTCCTTAACTGAATGGTTGCATATATCACAGTGGCTGGAGAAATATAACCGCTTTTAGTACTACGCAACAACCCGCTCCGAAGAATATTTTATTTTATTTACATTTTACAACATTTTATTTATATGCCACTTTTTTTTCCTTTTTGGAAAGACCCAAAGTGGCTCTCCACATCTTCATTTTATCCTCATTAACAAGCCTGTGAGGTAGGTTATGGCTTCCTACTCGCCCAAAGTCACCTAATGGATTTCATGGTGGAGGGTGCCTAGAACCCACATCTTCTGAGTCCTGGTCCAACACTTTAACCACTACATCATAGTGGCATTGCTATAAATTTCAATTATTAAGATTATTGTCTAAAGAACCCAAAATATTTTTCTGTTTGCCTCATTCAAGAGCATAAAAGGCATAGAATTGAAACATAAATTATTAAAACTCCACAATTCAAATAACTGAGAACAGCAAAAGACAAGCCTTTATTCTTATGCAACTATTTAAAACAAAGTAACTAAAAATAATTGGCGATATTGTATTCCCACTAATTTACAAAAGCAACCACTACTATTCTGTGTTAACTTTGCTGTTGCTGTGGGCAAGCTGATACTATTGTCCCAGTGTACCAAATGATTACTGCACTGGGGCTAATACAGTCAGTGTTCTATGAGCAATCAGCCACAGAGTCCATAGCAAACATATCCATTAAAATAAGAACATAAGAAAAGCCATGCTGGATCTGAGCAATGTCCATCTAGTCCAGCATTCCATACACATGGTGACTGTTAATAGTTTAAAATGTTTCGTGTGTGTTTCTTTAAATGTTGGTAAGTTTCAGAAGGACAATGAGGGTACAGAAGGACAATGAAGGTAAAGTGGGGTGTGAGTGAGGTGATTGATTGGCCACTGATAGTGTATGGGCGGAGCTTACAAGTGTGCACGGAATGAGAAATATATGCTTTCAGTCTGTCAGCAGTTAACAAGCTGTAGTCAGTCACGTGTTTGCAGAATCGAAAGAGGCAGACTCCTCATTTTTGTCCTTAAGGGACAAAAGGAAAGGGAAGGAAGTAGAATAATTGGAGGACATATTAGCAACTAGGGAGAGTCAAAACATAATATTGTCAAGTATTATAGGGTTGTGAGCGATGTAAGCTGACAGAAACCTGAGCACAGAAAGGAAAGATTTAAAAAATGATAAATAGAATAAAGGTTCGTCAAAGAACATTCAGAAGAGAAAGAAGGATTTATTATTTGCATTTATATACCACCCTAGTAGCCCAGATTTGAGAGTAAGGAGTGTTTGTGAAGGGAAAGAGTGAGATAACTCAGTCAGAAGTTATTGTACATTGTTTTATTCACGAAGGAAATAAGTTACAGAACATCTTGAAACCAATACGTCTCTTGCAAAAATAAAGTTTTGTTTTGTTTATTGCTAACTCAGCATCATAGGCTGTTTGAATACCAATGTCTCATCCTCAGGACCACACAATCCAATGCAGGAGCCTTATAACTTGCGCACAATACTGTGGGAGAAGTAAATTGATATGATTGGAATTAAATTCCTGGTGGCAGCATTACCAGCTAAGAGGAAAAGGGGAATATCAACAAGTTAAAGACAATCCAGATCCAAACAAAATATACCAGATTATTCATGACAATAGCAAACCAGCTGCCCACAGGATCCCTCAGGCAGGATGGGTGTAAGACCTCCTCCTGTCCAAGGTCCTCAGCAATTGGTGTATGCAGGCATGCCACCTCTGGTGAAGGAGGCAGCACATAGCAAGGCCACCAATTCCCTTCTCCCCCATGAATCTGTCCAATCTCTTTTTAAAGCCATCCAGATTGGCAGCCATCACCACTTCCCATTGCAGCAAAATCCATCATTTAACTATCTGCTATGTGAAAAAAATACTTCCTTTTATCTGTCTGAAACCTCTCACCAATCAACTTCATGGGATAATCCCAGTTTTAAGTGCTACAGGAAAGGGAGAAAAATCCTTCTCTTCTTTCACCACACCATGCATAATTTTAAAAACCTCTATCATGTCTCCCATTATTTGTCTTATTTGGGGAGGATTTGCCATTTATTTATTTATTTAAAAAAATTCTATGCCGCCCCCATCGCAACAAAGCCTCGGGGCGGCTCACAGCATATTTATGCTCACCCTATGCCTTTTGTTCTTTAATAGGTTAGTTATCCCCCATCACACACACACACACACACACACACACACACATTTTTTATTCCATGGCTGCTTAGTTTGCTCAGGAGCCTTTGGTGAGGGACTCTGTCTAAAGCCTTGTAGAAGTCCAAGTAAACCATATCTACTGGATTACCCCTGCCAACATGCTTATTGACACTCTCAAAGAACTCCTATATGTTAGAGAGCCAGTGTGGTATAGTGGTTAAGAGCATGGGACTATGACTCAGGAGATCATTTGGGGCCAGTCACACTGTCCACCCAACCTATCTCACAGGGTTGCTGTGGTGGAGATGAGATTGAGATCAGGAGGAGAAGAATGATGTAAGCTGCTTTGAGTTTGGTATAAGAAAAAAGCTGGATATAAATCTAATAAATAAATAAATAGGCTAGTGAGAGAAGACTTCCCCTTGTGGAAGCCATGCTGATTTTTTTCTCAGCAGGGTTTGTTCCTATATGTGCTTACTGATTCAATCTTTAATAATGCTTTCAAGCATTTTACCCAGAACAAATGTTAAGGTAAATGGCTTATAACTTCCCAGATCTCCTTGGATCCCCTTTTAAAAATTGGTGTTACATTGGCCATTCTCCAGTCCTCTGGTAAAAGGACTAATTTTAGGGACATGTTAAATATTTTGGTAAGAAGGACAGTGCTTTCATGCTTGAGTTCTTTTATAACTCTATGATGGATCCCATCTGGACTGGGTGACTTATTGACTTTGTTTATCAATAAGGTAAACATTTGTCATTACTCTCTTTCCTAATTCCTCAGATTGCCTTCCAGAATACGTAAGTTTAGGAACAGTTGTCTGTTTCTCATCCTCTGCTATGATGACTGACAACATTCTTTTAGCTTCTCTGCAATCTGCTTATCCCCACCTTAGCACTCCTTCAATTCCATTATCATCCAATGGCCCCGCTGCTTCCTTAGTTTGCTTTCTTTCTTTTGATATACAGGGTAGCACAGGGAAAAAGGAAATTTTAAATTGACATTCAATACACGAATAAACACTTTAAAATACATTTTATAATTAAGTATATTGTACAGGATATGCAATTAATGATGGTAATCAATAGTAATTCAATACACATTTTATGGCTTGAAGATAACATCACGAAAGTGTTGTCCATTTCTCCATACACATTCTGACAGCCTGTTGTTGAAATTCTGTATTACTCGATGTAACATGTCAAGAGGAATGCCAGTGATTTCCTCTTTAATCCTCCTTTTTAGTTCAACAATGGTTGCAGTATGTGTGCATTACACTTGGCTTTTAAGATGTCCCCACAGAAAAAAATCACAGAGAGCTGGGGATCTTGGAGGCCATGGAATGTCACCATTGCATGAAATGACGTGTCTTCCAAACAATCGTCAAATAGCCGCCATCGATTGCTGGGCAGTATGTGAAGTGGCTCCGTCCTGTTGAAACTGTTGAAGCTGCAGGTTTGAGTTCCTGCACAATCTGCAATTTGTAGGGATGGGACTTCAGCTCGTGCAGTATTCTTTGCACGCTTTGTTGCCCCAAATGTAGCAGTGATGCGTGTTGTTGAACGGAGTGGCGAGGGCTCCTCATGATGGCAGCTCGAACAGCCTCAATATTCTCTGGTGTGTGGGGCTGTTTGAACACCACCTGGAGACTTCTTTTTTAAGGCTGAACCCATTTCTTCAAAATTACACACTCATGTTGTAATTGCATGAACAGATGGAACACAATCATGATGTCCTAACTTGTACTGATGCTGAAATTCCCTTTGCACAGCAGTCACACCATCACCATTCTTATAAAAGGCTTTTACTGCAAACACTCATTGTGGACCACTCTAGTGCTCCACTATAACTAATGGCAAGGGGTTCTAAACAAGGTCGCAACGGTTCCAAACAATTGTTGACGTCCCAGTGTGACCAACTCCTAGTTCCAAAATTTTCCATTTTCCTGTGCCACCTTGTATTTAAAGAATTAGTTATTGCTAACCTTGGTATTGCTACCAATGTGTTCCCCAACTGTTTCTTTGCTTCTCTGATTGTCCACTTGCATCTCCCCTGTACAAGCTTGTGGTCCCATTTATTCTTTTTATTTGGGCAATTCTTCCATGTTCTGAAGGAAGCTTTCTTCTCCCTAATAGCTTCCTTGAGTCTGTCATAGAATCACAGAATAGTAGAGTTGGAAGGGGCCATGAAGGCCATCAGGTCCAACCCCCTGCTGTCACAAGACACCAAGTTACACCATCCCACTCAGATGCCTGTCCAGTGTCTTTTTGAATGTCTTGTGTGGGGGAACCCAACACCTCTCTAGGCAGCTGGTTCCACTCTTGTATTGCTCTGACCATGAGGAAACTTTTCCTTATGTCCAGCCTAAATCTGGGTTGTCACAACTTGGACTGATTATTCCGTGTCCTACACTCTGGCACCAGCAAGAAGAGATCTTGACCTTCCTCTTTGTGACAGCCTTGGAGGAGCTTATAGAGGGATATCATGCCCCCCCCGCCCCGCCCAGTCCTCTCTTCTCAAGGCTGATCATGCCCAGTTCTCTCAGTCTCTGCTCATCTCAGCATCACCAAACCTCTATGCAGTATTTCCCAAGTTTGCTGGCCAGCTGTTACTTCAGTGGATAGATAAGTCCTCTTCACCAGTTTCAGTGTTGCAACTCTCAGATCTACTCTGTAAGAACAGCTTCCACTGCACTCGGGTGTTTTTGCAAATGTGGCAGGAGACTGTAAAATGAAGAAAGCATAAATATCTACATTGGTTGGCTGCGCTTTATTCCCCATCCCCTTCAAACTGGACAAAACCCTGTAGAAGTGCATACATCACCACAAATGTATCTTTTTCCATCTTAAGATTCTCCATTGTGTAAAATCAATAAAAATACAGTAAAAATCCCCCATTCATTTCCTTGAGTTACTGCAGTTGCATTTGAAGAGGCCATATCCTTCCTTTATCCAGTAAGAACACTGAATTAATGAGGCTGGAAAAATGTTTCCCATTGAAGTAGAATTATAATGCTGGAGAGTCTTTCTTCCAGACAGAAACCTCTGTGCAATTCAAAATGTTAAACAACCTTCACTGAAACTCTGCATCAGAGATAATTGTTTACTGGACAATCAGTCTGCAGCCCATCAGAGCAATATCCACATAACGCTGGATTAGTTTCAGAAACACCTTCTGCTGTTCCACCCTGTGAAGGCAGGACACTGCCTTCCTCAAGCTGAAGCCAATACTTATATTGTGGGACTGTTGAGTATGGAGATAGATACAGGTGAAATTGCTATAAGACGACCACGCCGAACTCATGGGGTTAAGTGAAGTGTGAATATCATCAACGAACCAGAGCTGTAAAATTCCTGGTTTTGTTTTGAAGGGCAGGAGCAGCAGGGCTCCCATTCGGTTCTGCTTAGGATTGACCCTCGCTCGCTGCCGTAGGAAGACAGAGCGGGCGCACTCGGAAGGCAGTCAGCAAGATGGCGGTGCTCGCAGCGGCAAGGAGGCTCTCAGGTCAGTGAGGGAGGAAGGAGGAAGAGAGAGTTGGTGTTTCCTTGGCGGAGGGAGAAGTATGATGTTTCAGTAAATCCAGTTTGCACCTAGTTCCTCGGTGCCTGTCCTCGACGACTGGAAAGAAACATGGAGGTCTCCGTTCAGGCTCAGTCGTGGTTTCTACTGAGCAGAGAAAGCCTTCTGTAATGTACCGAGCCAGTTTGGGTTTTTGAGAATACCTGCTTAAAAATCGGTTGGAGCGAGTTTATAGAGATCGTTCAGCTTTGCCGTCTGTGAATTCACACACATGTAATATGCTAAGATACAATGTGCCGCATAGCCTATTTTATAAGCCCCAGATTTTGAGGCATCTCTAATATTAAGGAGAATTCTGTTTAAGTTTAAATTTTTGCAAGACAGAATAGTTCATAACCAGGGAATTGTGCTGAAACCAAGCAGCAAAAATAGTGTGTTTGTGAGGAGGGATTGCATTTAAGCAATATTGTATGATTAACATTTGGTCTTGCTAAGCAAGCCAAAAGCAAGTCCTTTCCTGATCGCTTGATGGGGGCTGCCCAACCTTATCTAAGGAAGCCACCTTTCCTCTCCAAGTGTTCTGGTTTCAGCAGATGTATGACAGAGGGGCTCTGTGATCTTGAGTAGAAAAGGGTGCGGTGGAGGATTGGCCATGCATGTCCAGGCATTTGCAAACTTCACTCCTCGCCTTCTGCCCAGTGTTGGAACTAGTCGCCTCTTTCATTTTTCAATTCAGAGAAAAAGTTTGTCAGTCATCACTCCTGTCAGAAGTTATGATACACCACAGTGAGCATAAATGTTGAAAACTGTTCATTGGAGAACAGTGATGTTGCAAGTACATACAATTGTTGCTGCTTTCATCTCAAAAGTGTATCTAGTTTCACTGTTGAATGTACTTGCGACTCCTTTCTCATTGTGTTTTCTTTTGTTTCCTTAGGGGTTTTTAGATCTTTCTGTTCTTCAGTCTCTTCAGTTTATAATGGTTCTTGTAGTACCTACCCTATTTCTCAGTTGTTTTTGCTTCGCTCCTACCATGGACAGATATCAACATTCTCCCCACAAAAACCTCTTCTCTCTCTTGGTAGTGGTTCCTTTGAACATTCAGTTTCAATAATGAACAGGTAGGCATTTTTTAATTACTTGAAAAAGATTTGGTCTTCCCTTTGTCTTTATTCTGTCTTCCTTCTCCCCAACCTGATAACAGTGTTTTTAACTGTATATGCAGATTCTTCTGATTTCTTCCTTGTAACTTTTCTTGTTCTCCTTCATGGATCACTGCCTTGTCGTGGGGAAGGAACTTGTGTAGCTCAATGAAGCTATGAGCTATGCCATGCTGGGCCACCCAAGACGGACAGGTCATAGCAGAGAGGATACAGAGGAGGGCAACAAGGATGCTACAAGGACTGGAGGCAAAGCCCTAAGAGGAAAGATTGAGAAAGCTGGACGTGTTCAGCCTGAGGAAGAGAATACTGAGAGGAGATATGATAACATTGTAGAAGTATCTCAAAGGCTGTCACAAAGAGGAAGGACAAGAACTCATTCATTCCGAAGTGCAGGACACAGAATAACGGACTTAAGTTAAAAGAAACCAGACTTAGACTAGATATGAGGAAGAATTTTCTCACTATCAGAGCAGTATGACAATGGAAGCTATTACCTGGGGATGTTGTGGGCTCTCCTGAACTAGAGACATTAAAAAAGCATCTGGATAGTCACCTGAATGGGATGGTGTAACTTAATATGCTGTAATAGCAGGGAGTTGGAACCCTTCCATTCTATAAACCCTATGCATTAGTAGTAGGTGACCCTTTTATTCACTCTGGCACCAACAATTATGAGTGGTAAGAAACACTGAAAACATTAATTAGACATGATGGTTCTAAATATATTTGTAATTTCCAGCTTTCAAACCAATTACCTATACTCTAGGTCAGGTTTGGGAAACTTGAAGCCCACTAATGGTCTATAGAGATAGAAAGCCTATGTGTACCCCCTATAGCTCACTGAGCTCCCCTCAGTTCTGTTTGTTGAGAAGCAAGAGAAAAATGATGTGGGGCATAGAATTACTTTTAATTTCAGACTTTATTCTTTCTGTGAAGTATTAGGAAGAGAATCAGTGAAGTAATGGCCTTTTTGTGTGAGTGGAGCTTGAATAGGCTTTGAGTATTATGTGCCCTGCATGAACAGTGGACTAGATTGAGTTTTGATGGGGCAAAAAATACGGGGGTATTTGTGGATTTAACTCTTAATATTCAAGAAAGCTTGTTGGATGTTTAGTTTGCTTTTCATAAGGATCTTAGTGTAAAGTTTCTGTATTATTGATACAAGTATTAGTCAAATTTAAATGCAGTATTTTACAGCTTTATTTTCTTAATTTAACACAATTTTCAGTGTAACACCTCTGCTTCAAAGTATCTTTCATCAGCAAGTGAGATGCCGCATCCAATACAGCTTAAGGAAGGGAAAAAGAAAAACTGTAAAAGCTGTGGTTAAGAGATTTCTTCGATTGCACTGTGGCCTTTGGCTAAGGAGGAGGGTAATTAGATTTTCTATCCTACATATTGGATTGTCCTAGCTCCATAGTGTGGTTGCAAGAGCTGCTGCTTCTCTGTTTGTAACAAGGTAGAAAATAAGCAAGCCAGAAACCCTCTTTTGATCTTATTGATACTCCCTGCTCTCCTTTGATACCATCAATATAGTATTATTTTGAGGTGACTGTCTAGGAAATGAATTGCACTCCTACTTGGGTGGCCACCTTTTGAGGGTGATACTTGGAGGGGTGCTTTGAGTACCAGTATAGCATGGTGGTTTGAGTGTTTTGCTGGGAACCTGAGAGATCTTCATTCTAGTCTGCACTTACCCATGAAACTCACTGGGTGATTTTGGGTCAGTCACTCATTATCAGGTAAACCTACCTCACCTTGTAAGACACCTTGAGTTCCTTACAAGAGCAAAACCGGTGGGATATAAATGCAATGTAATAACAACAAGAATGCTCTAAAATGGGTTGTTTTTTGACATAAAACTGTTGAGCGGAGTCATCTGAAGACTTGGAATACGTTGCCATCACTATGCTGATGATGCACAGCTCTGCTTCTCTTTAAGTGTGGTTGTAGCTGTGATAAACCAGTGAGAATGATGGGCTAATAAACTAAATCTCAGCTCAGAGAAGACTGAACTGTCTGTATATTTCCAAACCCAACTTAAGGTTCTAGCCTTGCCCTATAAAGCTTTGCATGGCTTGGGACCATATTAGATGGAGCAAATTTGGGAGCATATTTGATGTTCCCCAGAATTAAATAACGCATACACAGTGATCAATGTCTGCAGCACTCCTCCTCCTCCTCAAAGCGAGTTTCAGATGATAACAACGGAGTGGGCCTTGGTGATGGCCCTCCAACCATGGTATGCTCTCCTCAGGAAGGATTTTTTTTTGCAGTAGCACTGATATCTTTTTAGTGTCAGTTTAACAGATTGTTCTACTCCCATACATTATAGTTTATGATGGTGCATTTTAAATTTTTTATCAGTTCTGATAATTATATTATCATTTTAAACTTGTTCTTAAAGTGTTTTGCTAGCAAGTTTTATATGATATTTTGTAACAGTAATGACCCAGAGAGATTTGGTTAGTGTAGAAATGGAATGAATGGAAAACACATCTCGTGATGAAATAAAAGTTTGCTTATTTTATGGCTAGCCATTTATGATTCAGGATTTAAATCTTTTGTTCTTTGACAGGCTGGTTACAAGAAAAAACTGTGGAAAAAAAATCCTAGGAGGAGAAAGCGTTTGAGGGAACAAGTGTTCTGCAATAAAACTCAGAGTAAGCTGCTTGATAAAATGACCACCTCATTCTGGAAAAGAAGAAACTGGTATGTCAATGATCCCTTCCAGAAATACCACGACCGTACAAACCTTCACTTGTAAATTGTCAAATGAACATCAGTTACGTTCTTTGTATTCCAGTACAAGAACAAATGTGCAGACCAGTCATTTTCTGAATATGTGTGACATGTTCCTATTAAATTACTGATGCGAAATAATCTGTTTAGTCTGAATATGGATTTCATAGCTAACTTTATCCTGGAGTTATTTTGATATCTACTTGGCCTTCATGATGCTGTTTGTTTATGTATATTCTCCAAAAAACTCTGGGGCCTTCTAGAAACAGGTGTCATTAATATGAGATGAGGTGGCACTGGAATTGCATACAGGTAGACTCATTCTACTGGAATATATGACTTTTGTGTTGTACCTGAAGCTCTAGGCATGTTACAGCAAAAGGGGTGAATACTTATGCAACCAACAAATGCCAGTTTTCTTTTCTTTATTAAACTTTGGGGCCAGAATGAAAATACTTTGCATCTTCACAGTGCTGACTATCATGTGTACGTCAAGCGATAGCAACACCAATAAAATTAATTTTAGTTTCAAGGTGTAACACAATAAAATGTGGAAATGTCAAAGGTGTATGTCAGAGGTGAGTGCCTCTGCAAGGCTATTTATTTGCTTTATCTTAGTGCCAGAGGAGAGCGCAAAAGTTGGCTTGAAATTCAACATCAAGAAAACTAAGATCATGGCATCTGGTCCTATCACTTCTTGGCAAATGGATGGGGAAGAAATGGAGGTAGTGACAGATTTTATTTTCTTGGGCTCCAAGATCACTGCAGACGGGGACTGCAGCCAAGAAATTAAAAGATGCTTGCTCCTGGGCTGGAAAGCTATGGCAAATCTAGATAGCATACTAAAAAGCAGAGACATCTCCCTGCCAACAAAAGTGCGTATAGTTAAGGCTATGGTTTTCCCAGTTGCATTGTATGGCTGTGAAAGCTGGACCATAAGGAAGGCTGAGCACTCAACCAAAGAACTGAGGCCTTTGAATTGTGGTGCTGTAGAAGACTCCTGCGAGTCCCTTGGAGTCTTGGAGGAGATCAACCCTGACTGCTCTTTAGAAGGCCAGATACTGAAGATGAAACTCAAATACTTTGGCCACCTAAAGAAAAGGAAGAACTCATTGGAAAAGACCCTGATGCTGGGAACAACTGATGGCAAAAGAAGGGGACAGCAGAGAATGTGGTGGCTAGTGGAGTCCCTGAAGCAGTCGGTGTGAGCTTGAGTGGACTCAGGGGGATGGTGGAGGGCAGGAAGGCCTGGAGGAATGTTGTCCATGGGGTAACGATGGGTCGGACACGACTTCACAAGTAGCGACCAGTGCCAGTATAGCTTGATGATGAAGGTCCATGATCACATCCCCAGTGCTCCAGTCTAAACACTGTACCATGCTGAGTAGCATGTTACTTTAACAGTCTATAAAGCCGCTACTTTCAGTGTCTGCATAAAAAGAGCTCTGGAGATACCTTTCTTATCCAGTAGGCACATCTGGAAGGTTGAGAATTTGTCATGGTGCCATTGTGGAATTGCTGCCATTGAGAGTGCTCAGTCATAAAATGGCTCCTAGGTGGAAGGGGGACCCTTGTTTCATGGAAATTGGTGAAACTAAAAGGCAAGTACAGTAAAACCTTGTATTGCGAGCATAATTCGTTCCGGAAACTTGCTTGTAATCCAAAGCAGTTGTATATCAAAGTGAATTTCCCCATAAAGTCCAATGTAAATAAGGTTAATGCGTTCTATAACTTTTTTTTTTTAAATCACAAAAATTCAAAGCGGGCACGCTCGGGGGGGGAGATGGGCACGATTGCGGGCAAGCTTGTGGGAGGTGGGAGCGCTCGAGGGGAGGCGGGCACGATCACGGGTGTGCTGGGTAGGAGGCAGGCGTGAGTGTGGGGGGAGACGTTGCTGTACTCACACCTGCAGCGAGAAAAACTGGTGCTCAGTTGTGGTGACACTCGTACTGCAAGACATTGCTCGTTTATCAAGTTAAATTTTAGAAAAACTATTTGCTCATCTTGCAAAACTCGCAGACCAAGTTACTCGCAATCCAAGGTTTTACTGTAATTTACCTGAAGAACTTGTGTATGTAGCAGATGTGCCTCAGTCCCAAAATTAAACACATGCCTTTGAATTCACAGTTCTCTTTTATTCAGGATCTCTTGATACTTTCACCCCATAGTCACAGCACACAAGATCCACTCATTTTTCTCTCTTTTGGGATCATTACGCTAGGGTTGGGAAAAACCCTTTTGGACTCCATCCCTCCAGAATCCATGGACATCCTCTTGCGTTCAGTCCAGTCCCACAAAGCAAGACAAGCGAAGCCAAAGTCAACAAATGGTCAGGGACCCCCAGTTGCACAACCAGCAACCATCCCAGTCAGGAGCAGTGCAGGATTCAAGAAAGGGGCGTTACAAGCAGGCATGCCAGCCACCATCCCCAGCAACCAACCTTCCTCCATTTGCTGCTGTTAGTGGCAGCTTCATATAAGAAAAAGAGTGCGATGAGCAGACTGCTTATGCAGCACTTGGGGCTCAGTTCTTGGTGAGCACCAGGCGGCGGCAGCAGTATCAGCCCCTTTCCCATTTTCCAGTCAGTTCAGAGTGCTTCAGGGTAGTTTCCTCCAGCCACCTGCCATCTTTACTTCTTAAGAATGTTTTTGGGTTTTTGTTTTTTTGCTTGGAGGCGCTGCAAAAAAGAGGAAGGAGCTGATATTGCTGAGGCTGCCTGGTAAGGAGGAAGTCTTTGGGATGACAGTGTTGAAGTGGGGGAGGCGGTGCTGGTGACAAGAGGAAGTGGGGCGATGGGGGCTTGAAGTGGGGAAGGCAGGGTGATGACCTGCCACTTTGAAACACTCAAAATATGGTATCAATATAGATAAAATCATAGAAGGTACTTTATAAGCACAAAGGAAGGTGTCTGTGGGCGCAATGGGGCCTATAGACACCATATGGCTTACCACAGAGGTAAGGACACAACAAAGGAGTGCAGAATTAAAAGCAACTGATTTTGTTCTATAAATAAAATGACAATTCTTTTAAGAAAAGTTTAAGACTTTATTTTCAAGATGTGTATCAAGCAATGTAACAAAACTTTGACCTTTGGAATACTGTTGTAGTGTCTAATCTTACAATGCATTCTTAAATAGTCTATTATGTCTTTGCTATAGGTCACTGGAAAGAAACCATATTAAGTGCACAATAACCAGCCTTAGACATTGACTATTGTGTAACTTTCTAAAATACAGTGTTCTTATTTCAACTAGTGTATTAAGTGCAGAACAAGTATCCACAAAAAAGACTAACAAGCATTTAGGCACAAGTACATGTATCAACTACTGAACACATTTATCTGGCAGAATGCAGCCTGAAAGCAGCAACTGGCCTGGGTGATTCCATTACTGTATTTGGCATTTTCTCAATGTCTTAATGTTTAAAAAGTGGTAATTTAGCTTTGTAAGTTTCCTCTTAACTATATGATGATATTTTGGATTTGCACTGAAATTGGGAGTATTCCTGCTGAGGTTTATGGGAAGCTGCCCAGTGAGAGGTGTTCATCTGATCCATTGTTGCTTACTCTGATATCCATTCTTCAGAGTCACTGGCTCTGGTTTTTCACATGACCACAAACTTGATTCTTTTAAATGGTAATATCAGAAACTGGGGACTTTCTGCACACAATACATGTGCTCAACCTCGGAGCAAAAATTCCCCAGCTGAACAGACAGGACTGAGAAATTACACCATTAATATGCTAAATAGCTTGTTTCTTGCTGAAGTGGACTCTAGGTTGGATACTTTTGCACTGCACTTCAGGTACAATACAATTATTTTTTGTTTAGGAACCTCCACAATAACCTTTTCAGTTTATAGTGCTAGAATTGCAGCAGTCCAAGTGATGTGGTCTGCATGGCCCTTTTGTGTTGGCCACTGCTGTCTCTACATCTGGAATACAAAAACATACAGTCAGCACAATCTGAGTAGCCAAAATTGGGGTTGACTGTCCTTGGATGCACATCTGAGCTGCACAATTGGTCCAAGGAGGTAAGACTAAAAATGAAAGCAAGACAGTAAATCAGATGAATTCCAATGTTTTCATGAAATGCTTAGAGTTTCTTTGTAAAAATAAATAATTAGATAATAGAAGATTGTAACTGAAAATAAAACGAATAGTCCTATAGCTGATTTCCAGAAAACATATGACCTTAGTATTCAAATGGCAGCAGCTGATATGTTTTGCTGCATGTCTGATAAACAGTGGTACCCAGGAACAGCTTCTTCTAAACAATCTGCTTCCATCATATTGCAGATTAAAAATTGCATTTTAATTAAGTATATATTATTTTGTCATTCATGTTTTCATTAACTTATACACAGATACACAGTTTGGCTAATAAATTAGCACATTTACCAGAAATACTTTTTTTTCTTTACAGTGAACTAATTTGAGAGATAAGGCAATTTAACTGTTTCACTTTAGCATGTAACAATAGAAAGTCCAGAACAGTCATATTTTCAGTTTTACATATCAAATAGACATTGATTAGCTTTAGCTTGAATGAGTGTTAGTACAGCATAAGAGGAAAAAAAATACCAAGTATCTTTTTAGCATAATTGAACACAAACTTCTCAATTCTATTTTTTCCATCACATATAATAGCATAGTGGCAAAACTATGTTGCTTGCAAGATAACATAATTTCTGCCTGTGTTGCAGACTATTTAGAATTGAGTGATAGGGAAAACATGTGGACCACGTATCTGCAAGCTGAACTCCCCAAAGATTTTGAGGTGCATGTGCTAGACTAAATATTTTGCAGCTACCATCTAAATTCATGATTTATTGATTGAAACGGCAACAAATCCAAGTGTAACCCTGGGAGGTTTTATTTTCTTACATAGCAGTAACCATACTGCTATATGCTTGTACAATGGTGGAATTTTAGGCTTTCCTCCAACTTGTGGGAAGTTGCAAAATAGCACTAGGGGAAAAGCTAGGATATGGAACTGGAAATCCAAGACAGAAATATTAAGCCATTGCAATATCTTGCTGTTGAAGCCTAATATAAGGTCTCATTCACACATAACTGTTGCAAATTGGTGTAGTTATGATTTGTCATGATATGTGTTGCTGCTATTTTAAGTATGTAACCTCCAATCAGTGATTGTTTCTCAACATCCAGCCCTGGTCACCATGGAATAATTGTGAGTTAAATTACCCAAAGGTACTCAAACTACTAATTGTAGGTTAACTTTGAGTTGTTTGACCCATGATTACCTATAGTGTCCGGGTTTGGATTTCATGGAGCAACCACTGATGAGAGATAGCATTTTTAATGAGACTATAGCATGCAACTTTCCATGTCATGGGTTAACTTATTATTTACCACCATTAGGTATGTGCCAGGTCATAGCCACTTACAAAAGTGCTACATATAAATGAGGTTTGTTGCATCATTTTGTAATCCCCTCATTTGGTCTCAATGGCAAGATTTTTATGTCATTAATTTTTGTGTGCAGTAAGACAGATCCAGAAGCAAACACAAATGTCTACAGAATTTCACATGCTTTATACAGGAGACACTGAAGCCTAAATACACAAATTCTAATTATGTCTTCTTCATTTTGTACTTCTCTATAATTAAATGCACCATCCAACCTACAGACTATTGTGAACTATACTAGGAGCTATACTATAGCTAAAATCTCTGAATTACACGGAGGAGTTAAGTCTTCTATTTTCTTTTTGTACATAAAATGCCTATATACATGCTGGGGGAGGGTTAAGATTAAAATCCTTTTTGCTAACAAGGTTGACTTGCACCCAAACCAATCAATGTAACACTAATGTGGTTCTTGTTTACATTCTAGCATTCATTATTACTACAAGCATGCCTTGGACATGTTGTGCTACTGTCCATTAAAATGGCCAAGATTTGTAACATAACTCTAGCTTCTTTCATTCTATGCACAATGCACTTAACAATGCAATTCTAATCCTGTTTACTTGGATGCAGAATTCATCTGATTTCATAATGACTGTTACCCAGGTAAGCATGCTTAGGACATTAGTCTTAATCATTATGTCATCAAAGCAAACTTCTTTGCTGCCATATCTTTATTTCTTTCTTAATGTTTAATTTTTCATCTGTAAAGTACATTGACTTTTTCAGCAAAAATATGTGACAGAAGTACACAAAATAACTGGCTTCTAATAAATGAAATGTAGAGAAGAAATGGTGATGTAGCTCAGACTGATTAGGTCTTCAATGCCTGTACAATAAAAATAATGCTTTCCTACATAATTCACTGGCTTGTTATAAAGATAAGTTGGTGACAGCTTGAATAGAAAAATCTGGCCCCTGCCAGTCAACTTTATACATAATGAAGTTCCAAATAAATAAGATTGTTCTGAATATTTAAATAGGTAAATGATTATTTTCCTGCTTGCATTCACAGAACTAAGGTGATGTAACTAGCAATTTCAAATGGACAGCCTCAAGAATCATTCCACAAAAAAATCCAGGGGATAGCAAGAGGGATTGCTTTACCCTACTTGACTGTAATGCCACGCAAATGGCAAAGAACAAATAGCTCATAGAAAGGGAAGCATGGAAGCAAATGTTCACAACTCTGCAATATCACAAGCACATCCCTTCCAGCACTGTTTTTTCCTACAATATTAATGAAGTAAATATTTTAAGGCAGAAGAGAGACATTCTGTGGAAATCAGTGCGAATGGCTCATCACACTTCCATGGTTTCAGTGGTAGAAGATGAGGTACTTTTTTTCCTGAAACGAGGTCGAAGGCTCCTAGGCGGTGCCTACCAAAGACAAAAGATATTAGACTCATTTAATTACCACATCAAAATGTCTAAAGTAATTCATGTAGAAATTTAGCAGGTGAGGCTCCTTAAAACTATAAAGCATCTAAAGCAGCATCAATTCCCAGGAACCTACACTAGGCCAAAAGTGATATTTAATCTTTGGCTTGTTTGGATCCAGATGTACTCATGCTTCAAGTAGACCCATTTAGTCTAACGGGTGAGGCAAAACTAACTTATCAGTGACTACATAAAACTGTATTTGGCTTCAACCAGATCCTTTGCACTAGCATAACTCAAGGCATTCAACATTTGTATGGGTGTTGCAAGGACTTTCATGCAGATTAATGGTCTCCACTGCAATGCCAGCATGAACTATAGCAATGGCATCTGGACTTGTGCTACACAGAAGTGGAACACACCCTTTACTAGAGCTTGTTAGGCTGCTGACATAGCTACACAGAGAAGAAAGGTTCCTCATTAAAATTGACATGGCATGCTGGATATCTATGCTATGCTAGGCCATAGCACTATACTGGCAGAGAGGCTCCAACACAGTGAGTATCTCATCCCCATTCCATGTGTTTTAAAGGCTTACCTCGTTCACTGGGTTTCCTCTCCCAGTACTCCTCAATCCATGTAGCCATAATACTGCTTTCAAGCATTTAATAGAATAAACATTTGCTTTTGAAAGCTTACACCACAACAAACTGTTGAGGTTTTCTGGTTTCTCCAGCCAAGAAATGGAGCCCATACCACTGGATGTCTCCCTGCCCTGTTTGAACTGTTGTGTTTGTGGTACAATACATGCGTGGGGAAAGAAAGCTGGTTAGTTACTTAACGTGAGCTGGACAAACAACCTGGAGCAAAGCCCATATGTCCTTTTCTCTTTCTCTCTTTTTAAAAATGTAAAGATCACTGTAAACATAAACAGCACCACAGTAGACACATTGGGGCATAAAGAATGTGAATTCCTGTAGCATTATCTTAACCTACCTCTTATCCGAAAGTTTTACTTGTTAAAGAAAATGCATAGAAAAGGTGCACTGAAGTTAGCAAGCTGATGATCAGGACAATTCTACAGTCTAACTTAACACCAGAATACTTGGTATCCTATGCTCTTGCAGCAGTAAAAGCTCAGTAATATTAGTAGAAGAGTCAGTACTGCAGCCATTTCCATAGAATCTGTAGCAACACTTAACAACTTACCCCTGATGCAACAGTACAGGAATACCTTGATGATGGAACAACACAATACCTTTCCCATACAGAGAACACAAACAGGGTGCCTGAAAGTGTTCACAGCTTTTATTAGGAAGCCAAGCAGAAAGGTGCAAGAAATCCCAGTAGCAAAGTGTCAGCACACAAGCAAGTAAAGGAAATGTGTGAGGAGAAGTTAGGGGCTATTTACTGATCTTCAAGAACATAAAAACATAGGAAAAGCCATGCTGGATCAGTCCAACCAGCTGATTCACATGGTGGCAACCCAGCTGTCCACACTTCTTTCAAGCAGGATAAGTATAGGAGTTCTGCCTGCCTCAGCATCTCACAGTCATATCACTTCTGATAACAGAGGTAAAACACAGCCAAGAAGGTTAGTTGCCATTGATAGCCTTCTCCTTCATTAATTTGTGCAGTCCCTTTTAAAGCCATCCAAAATGGTGACCATCACGATGTCCTGTGGATCAGCATCAGCTCTCCAGTGAATTCTACAGTTTATGTGATGTGTGAAGAATTACTTCCTTGTAGCTGTCCTGAATCTCCCACCAATTCACTTCAGGAAATCTGTGTTCTAGTAATGTGGAGAGGAAAAAGTGTGTCTATGTATATATGTATTACTCCAGGTAATTATCTAACATTCATAGACTGTTAGCTGGGGCCACAAAAGGACACAGCCAAGTGGGAAAACCCCAGAATAGGAACCCTTTAAAACATTTAATAGTGGGAAGCTAAAGCTCCCGGGTGAAATCCAACAGAAGTTACAGCTCCTGCAGCTCTACTCAAAGAGCCAACACTCTACACCCAAGTTTGGGAAAGGAAAAACAATCCATAGCTTGGTTACTGACAAGAGCCACTGTGCAGGCCTAGCTTGTGGAAGAGTCTTTTATAAACACAAAGTGAAAGATTGGGTTCAGGTTTTCAGGGCTGATAGAAAAGTGCTTGCTCACTCACTCTTGCTCTCACTCTCTCTGTCTCATGGCACACCCACAGAGGAACTCAACCTTTCCAATCCATATTCACTTGCACTTGGCCTGTTATCACCCACAATGAATTGACTATTGTGCTCTCCAGTGAATAGAATATCTCCAATTGCAAGGGGACAATTAACATAGACTTCCATTCACTGTTACTGACCAGAAGTGCACACACAGTCTCCTTGCTTTTCAGACAAGACTCTCCAATCAGATTGGCTGCAGTAGCAGTTGAGCTAATCTCCCAAGAACTATATGAGAAGGAAGGCTGGGTCTCTCAGGGTGAAGAGCTCTAGTGATTAAGTGTCTCAGACCCAGAATAAAGTGTCAGCACACAAGTGAGTTAAGCAACATGTGTTAAGCTGTGATGTGTGCTTGTTGCAGTAAGCTCCTGGCTCTCAGGGGACATGCTTGTTCCCTTGAAGAGAAGGTTGCTGACCCAAAGAAGCTAGGAAAGGCAGAGAAATTGGCCAATACAACCCTTGGGGACCAAATGGCAGGGTCTGAATTCAGCTCCTATGCAACCATGGAAAATGAGGTTCTGAGAAAAGGCAGGCATTATTCTGAACAAGAGGGCAATGATCCCTTAGAAAGGATCCATTCCCTCCCATTCCTTGGATTAACATTTGGATTATGGGTTCCATAGCAAGGATTTATACACTGCTGTGGGAGTGCAAAGGTGTGGTGGGCATCCTTTGCTCCACTGTGGCTATGCTCCACACCAGGAGACAGCCATTCCACTGAGTTCATGGAAAAATATCAAAAGGCAATGTATATCACCATAACAACTTCATTAGGTGTTCATTTGTGACTCAACAGTAACAAAATACTATGTAAGATGTTCAAGTCATACACTTGCTTAGATTCTTAAGAAGGAAAGTTGGAAGAGGCTGTAGATAGCCTCTACCACCTGTAAAGATGGCTTCAAGTTGCACTTGGACCCCTCCCATGGGTTCCTGGGAGGAGAAACAGCAAACAGTCTCTCTGTCCCCCTTTCTCCCCATTTTTGGAAATATAAAACTCCAAAACTACCTGCATATGTAGTTTCCTTTGTCATTAAAACCAAATATAAAGAAAAACAAGACAGTTTTTATACTGACAAATCTGGAGATAATTTAAATAAATCTGGTATATTAGGTAAACCCAGCCAAGGCAGTGTACGGAGTGTTAAACCACAAAACAGTAAAAATTGCAATTAAGTGGGGACTCCAGCCCAAAGATAAGTAACAATCACTACTAGCTTGAACAGCGCAGCACAAAGTGCGGAAGGGCTGCTATTACTTGTATGTGGGAGAATTCACACTGATCAGCCCATCTCTGTCAATATAGCTGAATTATTTTCAATACCCTAAAGTGCAGTAAAAATGCCTGGTTGGATCCAGATTTAGATGTGTACAAATGGATTGGTAGAAACTGATTCATGTGCCTGCCTCCCCTTTAGACTCCTGAAAATAGAGGGCTGAGGGACTCTGATGAATGGGGAGAACTGTTGTGCAGGGGGAAGGAGAGGTTCCCTCAAAAGTATGTGGAAGCTCCTTCCATGAGCAGAGCATTCTAGCCACAGAATGCAGCTCCTGGATCCAAATTGCCAACTATTAGAGAGCCACAGTAAATTTAAGGATTGCTCTCATCTCCTTCCCTCCCTCCTTAGAAAGCACATCCTTAAGACAGTACATTCAAGAACACTGCTGGATTTTCCAAAAACTGTTTGGATAAGGCAATTACACATTTACCTGCAAGGCATGAACTTTGTAAATTAAGAATACCTCTAGTCTTAATGTCAGTAACATGAATATGCTAAAGGGTTTTATACTCTCCAAGTTAGGCTTCAGGCACTTCTTCCTTTGTTCTTTTAGCTCCAGCTTTGATGTGCATTGAAACATGCAGGTAATATGACACCTAGCCGCTTACCGTCTACCTGTTTTCTAAATATAGCATTGCAAGATTACACTCTGCAGTTTAAGATGCATATTGAAAGGCCTAGTCATTAGAATTAGCAGTTTAGGCATGATGAGTCAATGCAAATACAGTGGTACCTTGGCTTACAAACTTAATCCGTTCCAGGACTCTGGTCATGAGCCAAACTGGTTGTGAGCCAAGTCAAATTTCCCCATAAGGTTCAATGTAAATAAGGTTAATCCGTTCTGTAACCATTTTTTAAATCACAAAAATGTGAAGCAAAGTGACAACAACAAAGATCGCAGCCATCTCCCCACCCCCACCCCTAGCACAAGCATGGCCATCTCCCCGCACCCCGCCCAGCATGACCGAGATCGTGCCTGTCATCCCGTCACGTGCCTGTCATCCCATCACGCGCCTGTCATCCCGGCATGCTGGGGGGTGGGGGGGAGACGGGTGTGATCGCGGGTGCACTGGGGGAGAAAGAGATGGGCGCAAACAGTGTGCTGCGGGTGGGGAGATGGCCTTGATCGCAGTTGCTTTTGTGCAGGGAAGGGGTGCCTAATCAGAGGCGCGCTCCTGCAGGAAAGACAGGCAGAATCTCAGCCATCTCTCCTGCGGTTCTGCTTTGCTGCTCCTATCTTTCCTGCAGCCACGTACCTCTGATCACCATGTCTTTCCTGCACAAAAGCAACTGCGATCCGTGATCAGAGATGCGCGGCTGCACTAAAGACGGGTGCAGAAAAGCAGAGCCGCGAATCCCCTTGTCATTCATGCAGCCACGCGCCTCTGATCATGGATCGCAGTTGCTTTCGTGCAGGGAAGGCATCCATGATCAGAGGCATGCGGCTGCATGAACAACAAGCGGATTCTCGGCAATCGCCGCCATTGCTCTGCTTTGCTGAACCTGTCTTTAGTGCAGCCGCGCACCTCTGATCACGGACGCCTTCCCTGCATGAATCGAACTGTGATCGAGGCCATCTCCCCACTGGGCGGGGGGAATGGCTGCGATCTTGGTTGCCACCCAAAGTGGAGTTCACGTCCCAAGTAAAAATTTTTCAGTAATTTTTGTTCGTGACCCGATTTGATGTGAGCCAAGGCATTCGTGAGCTGAGGTACCACTGTACGATGTTCTGATAGTGCCTTTTCTCTAAAGATAGACAGGACCGAGTCTGCAACTTAAGGTAAGTTTTGCAAATGTTCCATATATGCTTTCATAGGAAGTGGCAGCACCAGTTTTCAAAAAGCCTTGTCAGCACAGTTAAAAGATACATGCTTGTAAATTCCAGATTTGTCTGTATCAGTGACTCCAAGCATATTTGTCCCAAGTCTGCTGAAGAAAAGGATTAGCGCTGAAACAGCAGGCAAAGTCTAGCTAAGCACAGACATTATACAGTGTATTTACTGCGTACACAACACAGAGTAAAATCTTTAAAAATAACCCCTTCACTTAAAGTGCAGGATTTACAGTCCTAAAATACTGGCATGGCTAGATATATGTCCCTTTTAAAGACTTCTCTTTACTACTAAAAAATGAGAACATGATTCAAAGAATGCCTCACAGTTCAGATGAGTTCTACTGATGAGGACACTGATTTAGAACTTTTCTACACAAGGCATTTATTTATGTTTACAGTTGTTCACAAGTTCTTTAGACAATAAACTGACCCTCCAGTTTTGCTTCTATATCTAAAAAGCATGTCCAGTGAGGTGTTTTTAGAGCAGAGAAAATGAAGTGAAAGAAAACACTTTTTTCACTCGTTTATTTGTGCTATGTCTACTACACCTCAGTGCCACCTGGAGGTCATATAACTGAAGAGCAGGGAAGCAAATACAGTGGTACCTTGGCTCACAAACTTAATCTGTTCCAGGACTCTGGTTGTGACCCAAATTGGTCGTGAGCCACGTCAAATTTCCTCATAAGGTTCAATGTAAATAAGGTTAATCTGTTCTGTAGCTATTTTTTTTTTTTTTTTTAATCAGGAAAATTTGAAGCAAAGTGACAACAACAAAGATCGCGGCCCTCTCACCTCCCACCCCGAGCATAAGCATGGCCATCTTCCCGCCCCGCCCCCCCCAGCACAAGCGGCCATAGGTGGGCAACTGCGGGCATGCTGGGGGGAGAGATGGGCGCAATCACGGGTGCGCTGGGGGAAGAGACGGGCGCGATTGTGCTGGGTGGGGAGATGGCCGAGATCGTGGTTGTGCAGGAAAGATGGGCATGATCTAGGCCATTCCCCCCTCCTTGCACGATTGTGGCCATCTCCGCCCCCGCCCCCTAGCACAATCGTGATCACACCTGTCTTCCATGCACAAGTGCGACCATCTCCCCACTCGGGGGGAGCCGGGGAGGGAGATGGCCGGCCGTGATCGTGGCTGCCACCCAATGCGGAGTTCACGGCCTGAGTCAATTTTTTAATGAAATTTTTTGTTCGTGACCCGATTTGGTTGTGAACTGAGGCGTTCGTGAGCCAAGGTACCACTGTACTCTTTAGGCATTGTTCAAATCTCAATTTTCTGATAAAACCAAAAGGAGCTATAGCAGACATGGCCTTGTATATAAAAGTCCACAATTGTACAGGAAGCAAAATAGCTACTGAACTGAAGACCAACCTCATTTTTTCCATTGCAAAAGGAATATAGTTTTGGAAAGTTAAATGACTGTGGTGTGTTTTAAGTCTATTTCCAATGTGAAAGTACCTCAATTACTGGATCCTTCTTTTTAGGCCTTTTAATCTTGGATGTGCAATCCAATGAATTGTTCTCTTCGTCATCCAAGAACACAACTTCAGTTGGTTCACAGCTTGCCTCAGGTGGCTTTTCACTTTCTGCCTCACCCTCTAGTTCAACCACTTAGAACAAGCCATTTAAGATCTAAATGGTGAAGACAAACAGGACATGGAAAGGTCAAAGATGACTGGCTAATACTAGCAAACTGGCTAATACTAGTGATTGTCCAAACCCATGCATATTCCAGGAGTTAATGGTTATCAATGAGGTTAAAAGGCACACTCTAATAACATGGCTTTGAGTGCTTGCTTCATTCACTTTTTTTTTGGGGGGGGGGTAAGGTCCAGATGTTATGTTCTTCAATTTGGAACCCAAATAGTTTTCTCTTCCATCCTCCCAGTTCTTGGGAAAGGAATAAAAGGGAAAGAAAAATGATCCAAGTGAATGTCTGGCAACAAGGTGGGGCCAATGTATGGGAAACAAACAGCACAAACACAGATTCTTAATACAGGAAGGTATTAAGCTATAGCAGAAACATGGTATGATGAATACCAGTTAGAATTTAGCAACTGTGGGATATAACTTGTTCAAAAAGAACAGAAGGATCAGAAAGGAGATGGAGTTGTATTATATGTTAAAGTTACATATCTCTGCACAGAAATACAGGAGGATGAGCTTAGTAGCCCCATCAAGAGCATCTGGATTAATATAAATGGAGCAAGGAATAAAAGAGACATCAGGGCTGGAGTCTATTACCAACCACCCAGGAGAAGACAAGGATTAAATTTTTAAAAGCAAAGTGGCAATGTTTCAAGGAGGGATGAGGTAATATTTATAGGAGGCTTCAATCTGCCCAATATCTGTTGCGAGACAAATTCTGCCAAACATAGCCCCTCGGCAAAATTCCTGGCATGTGTTGAAGACCTAGTGGACAAAGTGGCAGTTATGGGAACTCTGGGGGAAAGTGACCAGAATTCTCGATTCTAAAGGAAGCAAAAGCCAAGTGTAACCAAGCATGTACCCTAGATTTTGGGAAAGCTGGTTTTAATAAGCTCAGAACAATAATAAGCAAAGTCCCAAGGCAAGTGATTCAAATGAGAAAATGAGTAAAAGATTATTGGTTTTTTTTTTTAAAAGGAAGTTATAAAGGAACAATTACACCTAATTCCAATTAGAAAAGAGGTAGAAGACAATGAAAGTCAATGTGGCTCCACAAAAAGATCAGATGATCGGAAAATAAAAAGGACACATATAAGAAGTGGAAGGAAGTCAAGGCTACAAAGGAAGAATATTCTTGCTGAGAGAGAGAGAAGCTGACCTTTGTTTAGTCATTGTTTTTCATAGGAATTAGGAGCACTGATACACTTGAAAGAAAAGAAATGTGAACAGCAGTAGAGTCAAACAAACTTCCAAGACAATATTAGGAATAAGCAACTGATGCATTTCGGCAAGCTTTTCAGGGATGTCCAGTCACAGGTGAGCAGTTGCTGGGAAATTTTAATGAAAGCATGCAACTGACAACAGGAAGCACGTTCATGGGGTTCTGTCCTTCCATCCCTGGATATCCTGTTCTTAGTTATCAGATTATACTGTTTGCAAGCTTGTTCTCAGATTATACTGTTTGAGTGGGCAGATGAGCACAGACCATGGCAGGCAGATTATAGACTTTCCTACATTCGTGGCTATAGGTTTATTAAGAGTAATTTAGAATGGCAGGGAGATGTAATAATTGTATAATTTATTCCATTTCTATACCACCCAATAGCTGAAGCATTCTGGGCAGTTCAACAACAATTCATTCAAACAATACAATAAAATATTATACGACTTTTTCAATATTGTTGTTGTTAGTTGAAAAGTCGTGTCCGACCCATCGCGACCCCATGGACAACATTCCTCCAGGCCTTCCTCTCTCCTCCACCATCCCCCAGAGTCCACTCAAGCTCACACCAACTGCTTCAGTGACTCCATCTAGCCACCTCATTCTCTGCCATCCCCTTCTTCTTTTGCCATCTATTGTTCCTAGCATTAGACTCTTCTCCAGGGAGTTCTTCCTTCTCATTAGGTGGCCACAGTATTTGAGTTTCATCTTTAGTATCTGGCCTTCTAAAAAGCAGTCAGGGTTGATCTCCACTAAGACTGACTGGTTTGATCGCCTTGCAGTCCAAGGGACTCGCAAGAGTCTCCTCCAGCACCGCAATTTAAAGGCCTCAGTTCTTCGGTGCTCATACTTCCTTATGGTCCAACTTTCACAGCCATACATGGCAACTGGGAAAACCATAGCCTTGACTATACACACTTTTGTTGGCAGGGTGATGTCTCTGCTTTTTAGTATGCTATCTACATTTGCCATAGCTTTCCTCACCAGGATCAAGCGTCTTTTAATTTCTTGGCTGCAGTCCCCAACTGTGGTGATCTTGGAGCCCAGGAAAATAAAATCTATCACTACCTCCATTTCTTCCCCATCTATTTGCCAGGCAGTGAGAGGACCAGATGCCATGATCTTAGTTTCCTTAATGTTGAGTTTCAAGCCAACTTTTGCACTCTCCTCCTTCACCCACATCAAGAGGCTCTTTAGTTCCTCTTCACTTTCTGCCATTAGAGTGGTATCATCTGCGTATCTGAGGTTGCTGATATTTCTCCCAGCAATCTTAATTCCAACTGGTGATTCATCTAGGCTTGCCTTTCTCATGATGTGCTCTGCATATAAGTTAAATTGGCAGGGTGACAGTATACAGCCTTACCAAACTCCTTTCTCAATTTTGAACCAATCAGTGGTTCCGTGTCCCGTTCTCACTGTTGCTTCTTGACCTGCATATAGGTTTCTCAAGACACAAATAAGATGGTCTGGTACTCCCATCTCTTTAAGAACTTGCCACAATTTGTTGTGATTCACACAATCAAAGGTTTTAGCATTATTAATGAAGCAGAAGTAGATGTTTTTCTGGAACTCCCTAGCTTTCTCCATGATCCAGCGCATATTGGCAATTTGATCTCTAGTTCCACTCCCTAGCATGTGAAATGAGTGCAATGGTGCGGTAGTCTGAACATTCTTTGGCATTGCCCTTCTTTGGGATTGGAATGTAAACTGACCTGTTCCAATCCTGTGGCCACTGTTGAGTTTTCCAAATTTGCTGGCTTACTGAGTGTAGTACTTTTACTGCATCGTCTTTTAAGATTTTGAATAGCTCAGCTGGAATACTGTCACCTCCACTAGCTTTGTTGTTGCTCAGACTTCCTAAGGCCCATTTGACTTCACATTTCAGGATGTCTGGCTTGAGGTCGGTGACCATCCCATCGTGGTTATCAGGGACGTTAAGCTCTTTCTTGTATAGTTCCTCTGTGTAATCTTGCCACCTCTTCTTAATCTCTTCTGCCTCTGTTCAGTTCCTGCCATTTTGGTCCTTTACCATGCCCATCTTTGCATGAAACGTTCCCTTCATATCTCCAATTTTCTTGAAGAGATCTCTGGTCCTCCCTATTCTATTGGTTTCTTCTATTTCTTTGCACTGTTCATTTAAGAAGGCATTCTTATCTCTTCTAGCTATTCTCTGCAATTCTGCATTCAGTTGCGTGTATCTTTCTCCCTTGCTTTTTGCTTCCCTCCTTTCCTCAGCTACTTGTAAAGCTTCCTCAGACAGCCATTTTGCTTTCTTGCATTTCTTTTTCTTTGGGATGGTTTTAGTTGCTGCCTCTTGTACAATATTGCGAACCTCCGTCCATAGTTCTTCAGGCACTCTGTCTATCAGATCTAATTCCCTAAATCTATTTGTCACCTCTACTGTATATTCATCAGGGATATGATTTAGGTCATACCTGAGTGGCCTAGTGCTTTTACCTACTTTCTTCAATTTAAGCCTAAATTTTGCAACAAGAAGCTCATGATCTGAGCCACAGTCAGATCCTGGTCTAGTTTTAACTGACTGGATAGAGCTTCTCCATCTTTGGCTGCAGAGCACATAGTCAATCTGATTTCTGTGTTGACCGTCTGGTGATGTCCATGTGTAGAGTTGTCTCTTGGGTTGTTGGAAGAGTGTTTGCTATGACCATCGTATTCTCTTGACAAAATTCTACCAGCCTGTGCCCTGCTTCATTTTGTACTCCAAGGCCAAACTTGCCTGTTATTCCAGTTATCTTTTGGCTTCCTACTTTAGCATTCCAATCCCCCATGATGATAAGGACATCATGTTTTGGTGTTAATTCTAGAAGGTGTTGTAGGCCTTCATCGAACTGGTCAACTTCAGCCTCTTCAGCACCAGTGGTTGGGGCATAGACTTGGACTATTGTGATGTTGAATGGTTTGCCTTGGATTCAAACTGAGATCATTCTGGAGATTGTATCCCAGTACTGCTTTCCCTACTCTTTTATTGACTATGAAGACTACTCCATTTCTTCTGAGGGATTCTTGCCCACAGTAGTGTACCTGATGGTCATCTGAATTAAATTCACCCATTCCTGTCCATTTTAGTTCACTGATTCCTAAGATGTCGATGTTCAGTCTTGTCATCTCTTGTTTGACCACATCCAGCTTGCCTTGATTCATGGATCTTACATTCCAGGTTCATATGGAGTATAGATCTTTACAGCATCGGACTCTCCTTTCACCACCAGATACATCTGCAACTGAGTGTCCTTTCGGCTTTGACCCAGTCGCTTCATTCTTTGGCGCTACTAGTACTAGCCCTCCGCTCTTCCCCAGTAGCATACTGGACACCTTCCGACCTGAGGGGCTCATCTTCCTGTGTCTTATCTTTTTGCCTTTTGGTACTGTCCATGGGGTTTTCATGGCAAAGATACAGGAGTGAGTTGCCATTTCTTTCTCCAGTGGATCACGTTTTGTCAGAGCTCTCTGCTATGACCTGACAGTCCTGGGTGGCCCTGCATGGCATAGCTCATAGCTTCATTGAGTTACGCAAGCCCCTTCGCCACGACAAGGCAGTGATCCATGAAGGAGATATACTACATTTTCTATATACTAAAATGTAAAAACAGATTAAAAACCTCTAAAATAGCATATAATGAAGGGCAGACTTGTAAACTCATGGAATTGGTAATCTCCCCAAGCTCTTGAATATCTGTGTGTAAGTATACAGATAACCTGGTGCTTAAAAGATAACAAGGT